ATGGTTGCAGTAGGATACGTTCTCCATTCTGTCAACAGGCTTATATGTGCAAGGAACTCTGTCCTATTGTTGTTACATGGTACACAACTTAATTTACAGTCAAATAAAAAAATCATTGACTTTAGCAAATGACATAAAAGTGAGTTGTTTTGAAATGTCCTTATATTTGGTTATTCTTGGATTTGACTAACTAGAACTGGGAGATTATGTTAAATAGCCAAAGTTGAAAACACATGTTTGTTCCAATAAATCCTAGTTGGATGCATTCTTTTTGCTTTTTGAATGAAAAATCAAAGCTTGTTTTAGCTGAAGTTGTCCACTAGATGGCAACAATGTCACATTGGCTTTTTTCTGTTTGGGTGGAACCATAACACAAAAAATATTATCTTCGACAAGTATTAAAAGTATTTCTTCCTGTTATTATTATTATTTTGAATAAAATGCAATAACCTAAACTCTTAATGATACAGATGCATCCACTAGTAACCAAAGTGGTAGCTACTTCTCATAGTGAGCTGATTGTGACATTATAGCTGTCCTGCTCCACTTACTCTTGCTATTGTTGTGTATTTAAATGCGTTCAAAAGCATCAAATGTACATTCAAGTAAGATTAGATTAAATAGTCTGTTTATTAGAAGCAATAGCCGACGCATCAAAACTCTGGACGGAATAAATGGCTTACAAATATATTTACCAACCTGTCCAGCCCTGTTAAGCTCACCACAGCTGTGAAGGTTCATAATATGACCTTATGGGGTGTTTGAGTGATGCGCTGCTTGACAAAGTCGTACAGGAAATGGATGTGAATCTCTGGCAATGTACTTAAAATGAGATCCACCACAGAATCTAATTTCAGAAGTCATTTCCCCCTTTTCAGCCATTATTGGACGGACAGCTGGCCCTCTGCTCTTGTATTGTCTCTCACATTGGCAGCTTGGGCTGGATAATGTGTTTGTGATGTCTGTGCTTGTTGTTGAGCCCCCTAAGTACATACAATGTTTGTCTTTCTCGATCTCTATTTTCATTTTCTCTATGACCTTCTGATTCTTTTCTTTTTCCCAAAATGAACACATCCCTGTTTCTCGAATAAAGTCAGTATTGGTGAGGATTAATGGGATTTCTTTTTTCTTGTCTTTTTTTTCGTTTGCTAATTTAAAAACTGGGAGAAGAAGATGGAGGAGATTGATTAGTCTACTGACTTGGGGTTTGCCCTCTTCCTGGGAGCAGTTAAGGTCCTTGTTAGTAAATCCCTCTTCATTATTAATTCTGTGCAGATCTGAATCCTTCCAGACACCCAGTCCACTCTCCTGTCTTAGTTTCCTCTATTGCTCCTATTAGTATTTTGCTTTTCTCAGAAACCTTGTATTCTTTTGCAGCCTGTTTTGTTTTTAAAACTTGCTACAGTTGTCTGATTTTCATGAATATCATATGCTCTCCATAATGTGGAAGATTGAACCTGCTGCTTAATTAGCTTGTTGAGATTTTTTAGCCTGCTTTCTGTAGTCGGACAGGTTCTATTTATATTTACTTATTATATGGATTACTTATCAGAAAAGCA